GCCACCCCCCCGCACATCCCTCCGCGGTGTTCAAAGCCAGAACCGGCCGCCTTGCGCTTAAGGCACCCTCGCCACCGAAAATAACGAGTTAACGAACGAACGTAGGAGGGACATAGAGAAGAGTTGGGGTGCAGAAGTGCTGTACAAAAGATTTCTGTGTACATGGCTGAGAGCGTGTAGTCTTAAAGTGAAATGCAAAACTTAAGGGTTTCCAGCATGGCAACTGGATTGTGATTCAAGGTATTTTCTGTGTAACGCAGAAATACAATAGTTCAAGGAGGTTTTTCTGACTCGAATCCTTAGTTTCCCTCTGTTCCTTTAATCCAGTACACAAATTACACTTTTACAGTCTTTTTTTCCTGGGAATAGCTGCTTCGCTTGTCTCCCCAATTTATACCTTTATGCCCTGATAGCTAGAAAATGCAGTTTAACCTCTGAAATTGCTATACTAGTAAGACCCTATTGAAATTTAGCGCTTATTTCTTTAGATTCGCATCATTACTTTCAGAGTGTTTTCAGAAACGTTTTTAGCAGTCAGTATGGGAATGTGCACAAAGCTGTTTCATTATAGCTCTGTATACTTCGAAATATCAGGATTTGAAGAGATTAACACTATTCAGCAGTGGAAATGCACTCACAGACACTGACTTTCACTTTCAAGGAAATAACTGTCCTGACTCATAGCTAATTTGGAATTTAAAAAATCTATAATTCAGTATCTTACAGGTGCGTATGCTTTTTTTCCACACTGTTCGACAGTCATGTTCAACAGCATGCAGTTAATACCTATTTTTTATTTTAATTAAAATCTGCACTTAGCATATATTTGACTATATAAAACAACTGTTCTTTTCAGCTTTTTTATTTCTCAGCTGCACCATTCCCATATTTTACAATTACATAAAGGTGGGTGTGGCTAAAATGAAAGCAGTAAGCAATCTAATATCAATATATAGCGTATGTTAAGTAGCTTTTCCTTTCTTATATTTGATGTACTCCTTATTTTGAGATATTTTTTTGGAAAAAATATGTAGTTTAAATAGACCCTTGTAGAACTGCTTGCATTTTTCACCTTAGTTAACATGTCAAACATTAACTGGGATTACTTGGCCCTGTAAAAGTTACATTCAGAGGAAATATCAAATGAATTTAAAGATCTAAAATATATTTATATTATATGGATAAGTGAGAGTTAAAGTTCTATGCTTAATAGAATATTGCATAGGTATTCCATGTGGCATAGTGTGTGTGTGTGGTTTTTTAATTTTATTTATTTTTAAAAGTTTGGGGTTTTTGAGTCTAATCCTTTATCTTGATACTTAAGGAGAACATCCAAGTAAGCTTCAGTTGCTTTTTTTTTTTTAAGCCCACTAAGTTGTTCTGAAAGTTTCCAAAAGATTCCCTTTCATTTTATAGATACATATCTACTGAAGCTTGGAGTAACTATGAGGTTTTTTAATTTTCAGAAATAACAGTAATTTGGAAGTGTGACTGTATACCTAAGTGACTTTTTCATGTGTTAGAGTAGTATTACATAGAAAGCTTATTGTAGTAACATTTTAAAGGTAGACTATATATACGATAACAAGGTATCATGGGGTTCTTTTTCTGTTTGGTTGCTTGCTTGGTTTTTTGCTTAGCTTCTGGAATTCTGAATTTCTTACTATTCTATCCAAAATGTAATGTCATGGAAGAAATTTTGCTGCTAAATTGTAGTCTTTATTTCCTTAATTATCCTTGTGACTAGTAAGTCAGATTCTGTAGTGAGTTACAGCTGGAACTGCAACACACACTACCTGTCTATGTACACCCTGCCTGTGAACACTGTAGGGAAGGTGCACATCTCATCCATCTTGAATGTCATCTTAACAGGTGTATCAACACTTTTCTGTAACTTTTACGTATGTACAAGCACATGACCTTTCTTTACATAAAAAGTAGCCACATAACAGTTAGCATTTCTTTTATAGAACCTTACTGGTTTTTGTTATTTGCGTTGGGAAGCAATTCACTACTGAATATATAAGGGAGAACTGAGAAGCTTATCATTATATTCTACAAATATGCTGCATGTATTCTGTTTGTAGACACAGTCATCCACCCACACCCAAAGGCCCATTGCAAGTCATTCCAGTAATTTACATTCATTGCACACTGTTAGAGGTAGAGCGCATCTTGGACTAGTTTTGACTGTGAAAGAAATGTGGAATGAAATTCTAGGCTTTTGTGTATAAACAGAAAAATATTTTTATGATAAACCTTTTAAAACTAAAAATAACTTTATGTACACCAATAAGTGTTCTCCACAGATTTTATTTTTGGGTTTTTTTTTTAATTTTGTCTTTACATACATATATTATTACAAGTTCTAAACACTTAACACCTAATACTGGAACCCAATCTCAAAAATTATGATCTTTTCTATTATCAGTAATACTTGAAAAACTTTATTTGAACAGACTGCCCAAATTACTTTTGTATATAGTCCTTTGTGACTCTTCTCACAGCCATCTATTTTTAAGTAGAACTAGTAGTGTATTTTAAAGATAGAAAAAAAAAAAAATGTATGCCCCGCAAATACAAGGGGACATCAGATAGAGTGGAGATGTGCAGCCACAGATTTCCAGTAATTATTTTTTTTTTTTACTTAGTGAAAATGTTGCTGTGCAATTTTATTTTTGTTTTGTGCATTAATGGCAGGAGTTACATAGAATTTTTAGATAACTGATGTGTTAATACATAACAAGCTAGATAAGTCAGGTTTTGAAAGAAATCTCTTTATTGAAAAATACCTTAATTTTGGATACTGGACAATTTCAGAAATGGTTAGAATAGCTAGGTATAAAAATTTCTGCCCATGTTTAATAGGGTGTAAGGCAATGTCTATACTGATTTTTTTTTTTAACCCTTCAGTGTAAGTTTTTAAAACAGTCCCAATTCTAATAAAGAAACTTTGGGCTCTATCTATTCACTAGGCAGCTGATAGTACCACAGTTGAGAAATAGTTTTGATCTTAGCTTCGTATGTTGTTTTGTGGGAACTCAAGCAGGCTTGCATGAATATTAGAGGAGGGTAGCAGAACTTGGTCTCGAGTGCAGATAACACTTAAAGTTTGAGAATTTTTTCCTTTAATATTTACATCTGATAATATTTTAGTGTATCATTTTTAAAAATAGGTTCTCTTTACAGAGAATACTAAGTTTTATAACTTTTATATAACTCTTTTTTCCATATCTCGGTAATGAACAGTTGCTAGTGTATAAGGATGACCTCACACATTTATTACCACATACAGTAGAAAATGTAAATTATGTACATTTAGCTTTTATTTTGTTATGTTTCCCACAATGTCTTCTAAAACTGAACACAATATTCTTATATTGCTCAAAACTGAGACATTTCAGTGACCGTTATTAATGCCTAAAGGAAATCACTGTTAGAGACAGGACCCCCCCACCCCGTGACTATTTAGTTTGTTTTCAGACGCTGCAATGAGTGTATCCACAGTAAATAGATTATTAATAAACTTTTCAGCATTGAATCTAGTTGCAACTAATTAGTTTATTTAGCATGAACTAAAATTCACTTGAAGATTTGGTCTAAGATAAAGATAATTACACATCAAATAGGGCTTAAGCTTGTATTTTCATTTCAGATGGTTTAGTGTAAGTCCAGTTTCAGTATTATCTTTAAGTATCTTAAATCTCAATATAAGCGGGGGGGGGTGTGGATTTTCAGAAGAACTTTTGTGTTTCTGGTTTAAGAACAGAAACTGTTCTTAGAAAGGTGAAATAGGTGATGTGTGGAAAACATGGAAATAAAGACAAATTCCTCTTTCTTGCCCAAGAGGGGTGCTGCTTAGTTCCATATCTGTGAGGGGGCTTTTAGTATTTTCTAGAATACACTTAAAGTATACAGAACAAATTTATGGAAATATTTGTAAACAGGTGACCTGATTTAGGCATCTGCCACTCATTAGGCATAGGATGTGGCTTGTCATGGTATCTACAGTGGAAAAGTCAAAATAAATTTTAAGAATTTGGCTGTGTGAATGCATTGTTTCCTCCGTAGATATCTAACTATAGTTACTACCACCATGAAGTTATACTTTGTTCTTACCTATCATGGCTAATTACTCTCATGGCTTTTTTTTAAGTTTTAAGATTTTATTTAATCTCTCAGTGTATTATATGACTGTAATATTTCCATTATGTGTTTTAAAGTAGCTAATATTTTTAGGTTACATTTTAATAAAGGAAATAATGCTACTGCCTTAAAGAGAA